GTCCGTCACTTGCAGCGTCCCCAGTACTTCTTGAGGTAAGCAAAGCAACTGTTTCGTAGCCTGCGGACGATTCATTGATTGATTGATGTTTCCGGGCGCGTCACTACTAAAGTCGTTAGTCCCGTCAGTGCAGTGCATGTTTTCATCGCTTGAAGTGGCTGGATGACGAGATCTGGAGCCCACCTCTCCGTCGGCTTGAGGGCTTTCCCCCACCAGGTTTCCCGTGCTATCACCGGCGCACCGCCCTAGCCGGGAAAAGCTCCCTGCTTCCGACTGGTCTCCCGTGATGTGTGGTGTGTGTGATGCGTGTGCGGGTAGAGCGTGAGGATAGGGCAAGGAAGAGGAAGCAAAGATCGCGTGCGGTCCGTCATCCGTTTGTTAGGGTACTGCCTGGTGTTGATCGGAGAAACCACGGAAACTACTGATCGCTACAGCCGGCAGCCGCTAGAATTCAGCCGGAGATAAGAGATGCAGCCGGTCGCGAAAATTCTCCAGACAGCGACTGAATTCGACCTAACGAGCTCGTGTCCAAAATCCTGCCACCGTCGCGACTCGACCCGTTGAACATCCCGTGGCATTGCAGACATCGCTTGATGCTCTGCATCGCCTAAGACGGTGCCTACGGTCGACAATAATCTAAAAAAAGTTTTACCGGAAATCAAAGAGGGAAATCATTCTGTAGAGAGATGCAAATGTAATGTTAACAAATTATGTATTTTCACGGCCTGAAAAATCATTTTTTGGCTACTAAGATACACTTTTCAATTGAATTTCGTTTGGATAATTGTGTTATTATCGGCGCACTGTGTCTGAGGGTGAAGAGCGACGGACGACCGGCTGTGGCCACCTGTCTCTGCCACAAAGCACTGAAAGCGTTGCAATGTGACTGATATTTAATACATAATGTTTGTGATCGCCAAGGACGGCTTCGTGATTCCTTTGACAGCATACAATCTGGACCTTAACTAGGCTGATCGCTCTTATGAAATGGACAGTTATTCACATACTCATTACCTTATTATTCCTTTTTTCACACATTTTGACACTGTATTCTCCTTGCAACAAAAGTGTTCCTTTCGATTCGATTCAGAGACTTTACGTAACTGCGTTTATCATATTTCAATAGCAGAGATCGTTAAAGCACGAAAGTTCAGATTGGAGGGTTGAGAGGGAGAGAGGGAGAGAGGGTTCGGTGGGTTGGTTTCCTGTGTGTTGTGACATTGGGCCGCCCCGCCTACCATGCATGAATCTCCACATGACATCGCCTCGTTTGCTACCCGTTCTGGTGAGTTGAGGCATGTACGCGTTACTTCAGGACGGCGCCCCCCTGCTTAAATTATACGTGCACGTTTTCTTCAGCCCCTGAATACCTATCTCCACTCATTTACAAACTGAAATTACAGTGGAAATTAGAACAAAACTATAGCAACGAGCGTTGTTGACAAAATCGGATAATAAGAAATGTTCGTTCCCGTGTAATAGTAACTATTTGGCAACGAAAAACGAGCTACAGATGTGATATAATAGTTATGTAGTAAAAATACCCCCCCTCGGTTCCTCATGCATCTAACGAAATAAGGCCCACGAATACGTCCGCGGATTACACATGGCCTCCAGCTGGTGGCCGTGTTGGGCTGGACACCTTGGTGGTTAGATTGATTCATTTATTCGTGATAATTGGCGCGTCGATTGATAGTAATTAGTCCCGTAAGTGTTGTGCAGTGGCTTTTATCGTGGGAGGCAACGGTGATCTTCCCCCGCTGGCTTGCGAGATCCGGCGCCGGCCTTTGTCAGCTTGCGAGAATTTTCCCCAACCAGGTATCTCCCACCAGCGTGTAACCGCTGTAGTCGGGACAAGGTCTACAGACCCGACTTTTCTTCCGGCATGTGTGGTAGTGCAGTTCATGTGAGTGTCAGTAAGAGGTGAACAAAGTACAAGGAAGATAAGAAAGACATGGAAAGATCGCGCGCGGTCCGTGGCCCGTTTGTTAGAGTACTGTTCCGAAATTCGTCTGGCGTTGATCGGAGAATCCACGGAGAACTCCCGATCAGAACAACCGACCGCTACAATTCTCCTCCAGACAGCGCGCTGCAGTGACTGAATTCGACATGGCTGAGAAGCTAATGTCGAAACTCCTGTCACTGTCGGGACTGATATCCTAGGACCTCCCGGTCAGTGGTTCTGCAGTAACATCAATAGATGCATTGAACCACTTGTGCGAGGTTGAGTGTCGAATGGTCCTCCAGGTCACAGGCAAGCGCTATCTAAAAGGGATGCAACATCGTTGTTTATATAAATATATCGAAGTTTTAAACTTCGATGAATTGAAACTTGTGTTTTTTTGAACAACTGTACTTTGTGCTCGATGTTTTTACGTTTCTTATGGTTCGTGGATGAAAAATTCCCATGGTCACTTCAACGACCTTACCTACATTTTCTTTCTGTGCAAAACACCATGAACACCTGTTATTCCATGTGAGCAATGTTGCGTAAAATAAGTCATGGTATTTTTCGTTATTAAAACTGAACGAAATGTTATTGCAAAATTCATAGCAGATTTGCATAGCATTTACAGATTGAAAAAACACTATTATTAGAGTACGTGGAAACGCATTAAAATGAACATTGTAAATAAAGAGAATCAATAAAGAATTATTGGATTTTTACTTTCTCTCCCTTAGGAAGGTACCTACTTCGTAAAAAGAGAAAGTTATCTAATCGTGAGCCGGAAAACTGCGAATATTCCGCAGAAAAACGTATTACCGCATCCTGGTAGCGGAAAAGTGAAGAAATCCTGTTGCTGTGTTTGGTAATTTTCTATCTCTAATACATGGAGTAGCCATAATCCATTTTTGTGGGCCCTCGATTCCGAAAAATCGATTGACGGCAAGACGTCTGTGGTCAACGCTCGCGTCTAAACAGTCCATCCTATTTTCTCTAAAATTGCTATTCCTCAATCGATCTGAACTAATGCTAGGCTTTAGGAGAGTAAAGCGAATACCTTGATATTTGAGGGTACTGAACACGAAGCTTCAAAACAAAAAAATTCAAAATTTTCTCAAAAATGCCACCAATTTTTTAGATTGAACTGTGCTCGAATAGCATAAAGGACGCTTAAGGGTTTGGTGCAGATCTAATGTCCGTTGAAATCCCATATTTTTCGAAAATTTGCAAAACTGCAATTTTGGGGGCGTCTTCCTACTTCTACAATATCTTTTCTCAAAAACCGCTCTATATATTTTCTTTCCATTTTCTCCTCGTATGCAATAAGGGACGGTAAAATATATGGTGCTATTCCCATTTTCGGCAAACACTCCGTTATTTCGAAAATTGCAAAATGTTAACATTTTAAATCTACAAAATTGAAGATAGAGAGTTTTGCCTTAGGTAAAGTCTATTATAACAATCAGCTCTTTAAAAAAAACCTGTACCTTTTGAAAAAACGAGTGGAATTTGCTCTGAAATCAATGCAATTTCTGAATTATTTTCTCAAATACTGCACCAGGTTTTTTCATTAAACTTGATCCTCATATGCAACAACAGACGGTAAAATATATGGTGCTGGTTCCATTTTCGAACTCACCGTATTTAGGATAAATGCAAAAATTGTGTGCGGAAATATTGTGTTTGAGACAATTATATTTTGAAAGGTCGGCCGGAGTTCAAACCTTACCGATCTTCTGTAACGTAATGGTATGGCTGACGGCGAGTACATTCGAAAGACCTGAGTTAAAGTCTCGGTGCCAAAAACAGTTTTTGCTGGCTCAAAATACAAATTCGCAGGCTTATGTAGTATAATATAGAGGAGCACTTACAAAATAATGCGAGAAAGTATGAGCTATTGTAGCACCACAGTAGTTCTGTGACGAAATACTGCTGGATACTCGGATTGATTTGAAATTTTACCAGTTAGTTCAGCACCGTGCAAATTACAAATAAATGCTTTAGTGCTGTGAAGCACTGTAAGAACTATTTTGCGACAATTAGTATTCAGACCTTTCGTTACCTCACTGCCTGCATCTACACGGAAGTTGCCTTGCGCCGCTACTGGCCGTGCAACTGCTACATCACCGCGTGCGTCGCCGGCGTTATCAGTGTGTATGTCGTCAGAGTCTCCAATGTCTTCCGTGGACAAATGTGCAGGGTAGTCCAAAGAGATTATTGAACAACTCCGGATCCTGGGAAGGAGTCATGGATGCTATGTCCATTATCAATTCATTTTTTTGTTATTTTATTCATTTTATTGGAAACAATTTTCTTACTCATATCATTACACTCCAAAGCATTATTTCCTTGAAGCACTCACAGACATGTTTCAAGATACTCAGATTCTTATAAAGTTTTGCGAATTTATGTAGATCTGACAAGAATTAGGAACAGGATTAAATTATTTTCACTATTTAAAATTCACTGAATTCCATATGTGATCTTTTCATATTTCGTGTTTTTGTACAGATTTTGATAATTTTTTCATATCAAAATATCCATCTCTATTCCAAATACTCTCCTTAATTGACAATAAAAAACAGAAAGCTTAGCTCCAACTATAGTACCTTTTGGCGATTTCTGTGGATCATACCACGAAGGATTGGATTTTCTTGCTTTTTTATCGCCAGCACCATTTACAAACGTACTCATCATAAGCGTAGGCCGACCATTGCCCAAAATTGGTCTGTTTTCTAAATCATTGAGATGAGAAATTGGTGTTCGTAGTAGCTCATTCACTGTATGTCATAATATTAATGTAAAGTTGTATTTAAATTCAAAAATCAAATAACAGTATCCACAATCCACACATCCGCAACATACAAATTTTAAATGAAAACTCAGAGAGTTGGCTTAGGGCATCAACTGATGTCACAGCTGTCACTACATTGTCGCGTCTCGACGGAGGCAGGATGCTGGATTCTCGCAAGACAGCTAAGTCGAATTCAGTCGCTGTCTGAAGGATAATTATAGCGGCCGGCTGTTCTGATCGGTAGTTTTTGGTGCTTTCACC